CAGTGTAGTGTACAGGGGTATTATGCACAGTGGTATTGTGTACAGGGGTATAGTGTACAGGATGTGTGCGTGTAGTGTACAAGGTGTACACATTCACATGTAGACAGTAACGTGTACATACATAGTTATGGGTTACACACGCAACACTCACCCGTTCCTTTGGATCAAATATGGATATACCCACTATTTTCCAGGCTTTGTCTATTTACTAAGTTACAGGAGTACAGTTACAGCTCCTGGGCCCCGCATCCATTAATTTCAATATAATTTTTACAATACAAAACATGTGGCACCTATCTACTGCTAGGCGAATAAGGATAGGTGATGTGAGGTGACTAGTCATCTAGGATGTTACTCACAACAGTCAAAGTATTCTTGAAGTATACAACAGTATTCTTGAAGTATACAACAGTATTCTTGAAGTATACAACAGTATTCTTGAAGTATACAACAGTATTCTTGAAGTATACAACAATATTCTTGAAGAATACAACAGTCTTCTTGAAGTATACAACAATATTCTTGAAGAATACAACAGTATTCTTGAAGTATACAACAGTATTCTTGAAGTATACAACAGTATTCTTGAAGTATACAACAGTATTCTTGAAGTATACAACAATATTCTTGAAGAATACAACAGTCTTCTTGAAGTATACAACAATATTCTTGAAGTATACAACAGTATTCTTGAAGTATACAACAGTATTCTTGACAAGCAGGATGACCTCCAAGTAGCAGACATGACACTAGGTTAGGTTCGGTAAGACTTGTCCGGAAACAGGACAAGTGTTTCCTGACGAGGGTCTTCGTTATATGATGACCCACAGCTGGGGCTTTTGGTCATCTGACCGAGGCCTTCCACTGGCTTACCTCAACACCACTTTAAAAATTATGGTTATGATTATAACGGTTTAATCTTCGGCGTCACTACCTGCTCTTGTGTCAGACTAGAATCTCACAGGGCTGGAAAAGCTGCAGAAGGAAGTAGTGAGGGTTCCAGGATGTCCTGGTACTGCCAAAATTTTAACCATGTGGTAAGAAGATGATATTCTAAGCATCAGAGATTATGTCACTGAAATATATGTCCTGACTGGGGTTAATATGCTGAGGCAAGACCAATCAAACCCTCGTACAGAAGCTCTCCAAACTTTCCTTAGCACTGGTGAACACTCCTCCAGATGGATCATAAAAACTGGAACCGACCTCCGAATGAATCAGATACATGATCTACGTCAGGTAAACAACACTGAAACTTCCCCTCTTCATGGTAATTACCTCCTTCCAAACCACTATTCCTCAGTATCTCCTCAGAATCCTTACTGAGTCACAACCACAACTGGTGTTAGAGCCAGAGGAAGGATACCTTAAGTTGTACTGATGTCTTGGTCACAAAACATTTACTTTCACAGTTATGTATGAAATATTACGACTAAGTGATACAAGAACAATCACGGAGTTGAACTATAGTTCTAGGACTTTCTTGTTATAATCAGCACATCAGGAGCTTGCAATGTTGCAGAAATGAGTATCCAGGTAGATACTTCAAAGGGAACGACTCCATTCTAGTTAAGAGTCGTTACCTTGAATATATCTACCTGGAGTTCCTAGTCATTTCTGCAACACTGCCAGCTCCCGATGTCTTGATTGTAACAAGGCCTAGAGTTATTATTCAATTCCCCCCGTGATTGTTTTGCACAATTATGTATACTGATGGTTGTGTTCAACTCGCTGCTTCACCTTGTAGTTCCATTATCAGAGTAATGTATCACTTATGGAACAGTAGCACTTATCAAGTGTTACTTTATTATCTTTATTATCCCCCCCATACCCTTCCTGTGGGTGGTAGTCAAAAGATTACAGAGGTACATAATGGGTCCAGGAACTGTACCTCAACATTACAGAGGTACATAATGGGTCCAGGGATTGTACCTCAACATTACAGAGGTACATAATGGGTCAGGGACTCTACCTCAACATTACAGAGGTACATAATGGGTCCAGGGACTGTACCTCAACATTACAGAGGTACATAATGGGTCCAGGGATTGTACCTCAACATTACAGAGGTACATAATGGGTCCAGGGACTCTACCTCAACATTACAGAGGTACATAATGGGTCCAGGGATTGTACCTCAACATTACAGAGGTACATAATGGGTCCAGGGACTCTACCTCAACATTACAGAGGTACATAATGGGTCCAGGGACTCTACCTCAACATTACAGAGGTACATAATGGGTCCAGGGACTGTACCTCAACATTACAGAGGTACATAATGGGTCCAGGGATTGTACCTCAACATTACAGAGGTACATAATGGGTCCAGGGACTCTACCTCAACATTACAGAGGTACATAATGGGTCCAGGGATTGTACCTCAACATTACAGAGGTACATAATGGGTCCAGGGACTCTACCTCAACATTACAGAGGTACATAATGGGTCCAGGGACTGGATCACAAAGTTAGATCTGGTCACAATCATGAACAAATTACAAAGTAATGAATCATCCACACGTCTACACCCGGTCACAATTGTAATGAGTTATAAGTACAAATATTAATTGGGTCACACACACACACACACACACACACACACACACACACACAAGCTCAAACACACACACACACACACACACACACGAGGTCAAACACACACGCACACAAACACACGAGCTCAAACACACACGCACACACACACACGAGCTCAAACACACACGCACACACACATAGACACACACACGTGGTAATGCTTTATTTACAGTGAGCAAACTCAGTATTTTTCCAGAATGGTTTGTAATATACCACTGTGGATAAAATACTTCCCCATTTCCAACAACGGGACTTTTACACTTCAAAGTGAACTGTTTGCTAAACTCCTGCCACTCCTCCTTAAGTGTCATGTCACGCTTGTCAGAAGCCAGACACAGGTATGATAGGATCGTGCACAGTGGAGTCAGAGCGCACCTGTAGATTCCATCCCACACGGGTCTTCAGATGCATGATACAACTGATGAATTGGCCGTCAGAGAGAGACAAGATTACAGTCTAGGGTTGTTACTTAGCAGTTTGAGAACAATAATACAAAAATAACTTGAAGTGAACTTTATTGACTCGAGACAAAGGGTGACTGACACCAGTCAGCTCATCTAACATTATTCTCTCATGCAGGAGGAGCCACATGTCTATGATACATCCAACAGCAAACTCTTCCATGTCACGACTGCCCGGCTCCGGCTGGGTTACCAGTATCTCTGGCTGGGTTACAAGTATCTCTGGCTGGGTTATAAGTATCTCTGGCTGGGTTACCAGTATCTCTGGCTGGGTTATAAGTATCTCTGGCTGGGTTACCAGTATCTCTGGCTGGGTTATAAGTATCTCTGGCTGGGTTACCAGTATCTCTGGCTGGGTTACAAGTATCTCTGGCTGGGTTACAAGTATCTCTGGCTGGGTTACCAGTATCTCTGGCTGGGTTACCAGTATCTCTGGCTGGGTTACCAGTATCTCTGGCCGTTGTTACTGTTGTTGCTACTGCAGTTGTTACTGTTGTTGCTAGTGCCGTTGTTACTGTTGTTGCTACTGCCGTTGTTACTGTTGTTGCCTACTGTGTTTGTTTACTGTTGTTGCTACTGCCGTTGTTACTGTTGTTGCTACTGCCGTGTTTGTTTACGTTGTTGTTGCTAGTGCCGTTGTTACTGTTGTTGCTACTGCCGTTGTTACTGTTGTTGCTACTGCCGTTGTTACTGTTGTTGCTACTGCCGTTGTTACTGTTGTTGCTAGTGCCGTTGTTACTGTTGTTGCTAGTGCCGTTGTTACTGTTGTTGCTACTGCCGTTGTTACTGTTGTTGCTACTGCCGTTGTTACTGTTGTTGCTACTGCCGTTGTTACTGTTGTTGCTACTGCCGTTGTTACTGTTGTTGCTAGTGCCGTTGTTACTGTTGTTGCTACTGCCGTTGTTACTGTTGTTGCTACTGCCGTTGTTACTGTTGTTGCTACTGCCGTTGCTACTGTTGTTGCTACTGCCGTTGTTACTGTTGTTGCTAGTGCCGTTGTTACTGTTGTTGCTACTGCCGTTGTTACTGTTGTTGCTACTGCCGTTGATACTGTTGTTGCTACTGCCGTTGTTACTGTTGTTGCTACTGCCGTTGTTACTGTTGTTGCTACTGCAGTTGTTACTGTTGTTGCTACTGCCATTCTGTTGTTGCTACTGCCATTGCTACTGTTGTTGATACTGCCGTTGTTACTATTGTTGCTACTGACGTTGCTCCTGTTGTTGCTACTGCCGTTACTGTTGTTGCTACTGCCGTTGTTACTGTTGTTGCTGCTGCCGTTGCTACTGTTGTTGCTACTACCGTTGTTACTGTTGTTGCTACTGCCGTTGTTACTGTTGTTGGTACTGTTGTTGCTACTGTGGTTGTTACTGTTGTTGCTACTGCCATTGCTTCTGTTGTTGCTACTGCCATTGCTACTGTTGTTGATACTGCCGTTGTTACTACTGTTGCTACTGACGTTGCTACTGTTGTTGCTACACTGGTGTTGCTACTGATGTTGCTGCCACTGCTGCTGTTGTTGGTGCTGCTACTTTGTTGCTGCTGTTGCTAGCTGTTGTTACTGCCATTGCTATTGTTGCTTTTGCTGTTGTTGCTGCCGCTGCTGTTGTTGCTGCTGCTGTTGTTTCTGCTACTGTTGTTACTACTACTACTACTGTTGTTGTTGTTGTTGCTGCTGCTACTACTACTACTACAGTTGCTACTGCTGTTGTTGCTGTTACTTCTGCTGTTGTTGCTACTTCTACTGTAGTTACTACTGCTGCTATTGTTGCCGCTACTGCTGCTGTTGTTGCTACTACTACTGTTGTTGCTGCTACCGCTCGCTGGTCCTGCTACTACTACTGTTGTTGGTGACAGGCCGTGGTGATAGCGCAGCGCAGCGCAGACAGCAACAGTGGGGGGTGCCGCTGGTGAGAGAGCGCAGGCTAGCTAGGTAAGGTATGGTCGGCACCAGACTGGCTCCCTGGCTCAGTGTGCTACATGATGTGTGAGGCTAGGCAGCGCGTGGACGCTCTCCTGGCCATCCTTGCCAAGCGTGGGATAGATGCAGCATCCCTAGCCCATCTCCCGGCCTATCGCAAACTCCTCAAAAAGCGCTCAACCCTCGTGGACGAGAATGATAACAGTGAGGACAAGAAAAGAAAGACCAGGGACAAGTGTGGTGTTGATTCAGACAATGTTGTCAACAAGTATAATACACGTGGTACCTGGTATGCCGTCTTAATGGGCATCCTTGCCCTCTTTCTCGGAGCAATATACCAGTATGAGCTACATACACAACATGGATTCACAAAAATGTGGCTACGATGGGAGAATGTTGATCTATATGCAGAGCAAGTAAGTCTTTGATATTTGTCTTTATATATCTATGTAATAGCGAACGAGCAACGCAGAATATACAGTAACCACAGAGGGAGTTGTATGATAAATCTAGGCCTTTCGTGTTGTGATCGACACATCATCAGGAGCTTGCAATGTAGCAGAAATAGAAATAGAGTACGAAGTCCAAGCAGATAAGTTCAGAGGAACGGCTCTGGAGCTATCATTCAGCGCCCCCTTGTGGTTAATTTGCATATATAATATATTATATATATATATATATATATATATATATATATATATATATATATATATATATATTATATATATATATATATATATATATATATATATATTAACAGGTGTTAAAATCCTAACACCTTAACAGAAATATTAGGATGTTAACATAATCAAGGATCTCAACAGGAGTAAACAGAATCTAGAACGTCACACAAATCGAGTAAACAGATTTAAACAGAATAAAGTGTTTTAACATAAAAAAGAAGAGTCAAGATAAGTTATCAATGTCAACAGTGGAAGTGAACAAGACTGAACAAGATACACCAGACTCCACGAATATGAAACGTGTTGTAAACTGAGACTAATAGCACAACAGAGCCGGTAAACAGACATCAACAGAGCCTAGCTCCACAAAAGAGGCAACTAACAGGTGCCAACAGTCAAACACTTCACACACAAAAAGGAAAAGTCACCTGTCAACACCTTGACAGGTGATCCTCCCAGCCTCATGTCTCTCAGCTGTCAACACCACCACCACCACCGTCTGTCAGTCTCCGTCAAGCAACACCCTGACAGCTGACCCCTCCCCCCAGCCTCACAGGAACAAAAGTTCAACAACAGTTCGACTCTCTCAGTAAAAGTTCACATCCTTGTTCACCACCCAGATGTCACTTGTTCAAGGTACTTCATACATCTCACTGAACTTTAGGAAGGAATGTTGAACAGTTCAGATCTGTTCAATCACTGAAAAATAATATGGTTTAGTTTTCTATCTGAAGATCAAAAATTTAAATGCAACACATTTACAATATATATATATATATATATATATATATATATATATATATATATATATATATATATATATATATATATATATATATATATATATATATATATATATATATATATATATATATATGTCGTGCCGAATATGTAAAACTGGTCAATTAGCAATAACTCATTTAAAATTAGGTCCTTTCTAAAAAAAATTCTTATACGTTTAAAGATATTTTTTTTTAATTAAAGTTTATGTAAAAGTTTTTTATTTTGCTCCAAAAGAATCTTAGAAAACTTACCTAACCTTATTATAACAAGAACAATTTATTTTAGCCTAACCCAACTAAATATATTTTAGATTTGTTTACAATAACCTAATACTAAACAAACACAGTGAAATATATTTATTTCGTTAGGTTCAGAATGATTTTGGCGAAATTATTCCATACACAAATTTTCGCTTCTTTCATATGGCAAGATGAGCTTTGCTATTTAAGCCAAGATCGCAAGTTCTGCCTATTCGGCACGACATATATATATATATATATATATATATATATATATATATATATATATATATATATATATATATATATATATATATATATATATATATGTTGTTAGGTAAGACACATATGCAACAGTTAGGTATCTTTATTTCGAAACGTTTCGCCTACACAGTAGGCTTCTTCAGTCGAGTACAGAAAAGTTGATAGAAGCAGAAGATACTTGAAGACGATGTAATCAGTCCATCACCCTTAAAGTTTTGAGGTGGTCAGTCCCTCAGTCTGGAGAAGAGCATTGTTCCGTTGTCTGAAACAATATTGTTTCATACTATACTACTCACCGAACTAGACCTCAGACGCCGACGGTGCCTAGAAGCCTCACTAATCGCCGTCACCGACACTATAGAACGCAACACTGGAAACTACAAAATTTCAAAAACATTGGCATACATGATACTTAAGCATCACCAACCCAACAACACAGGAGTCACATGATTTCATCGTCTACCCGTCCTCATCATAGGCAGAGGTTGTTTTGATAAGGACCTGCCTCGCATGGGCCAGTAGGCCTCCTACAGTGTTCCTCCATTCTTATGTTCTTATGACATTCCTCAGGTCACGTGCGTCACATCTCACTCTCCGCCTATATATATAATGTCTTTCTTCCTCTGTATGTTAGAAGTGATCAAGGTCCCAGGACCGAAACGTTTTCTAATAAATATGTTATAGTGTTTGCTTACGTGTCTTTCTAAACCAACTTGTCGGTATTTATTACCAAGGTTTATACCATATATATATGTAACACGAGTGAGAGACACTGGTGTCAGAGATACAAGAGTGAGAGATACAAAAGTGAGAGATGCAAGAGTGAGAGACACTGAAGTGAGAGATACTGAAGGAACTGTGGGATAAATTCAGAAAACAGCAAAGGGCCAGGAACACTGTGACAACATCTGTAGTCAAGACTATTCAACCTGCTACCAACAGATATCAACCTGCTACCAACAGATATCAACCTACTACCAACAGATATCAACCTGCTACCAACAGATATCAACCTGCTACCAACAGATATCAACCTGCTACCAACAGATATCAACCTGCTACCAACAGATATCAACCTGCTACCAACAGATATCAACCTACTACCAACAGATATCAACCTGCTACCAACAGATATCAACCTACTACCAACAGATATCAACCTGCTACCAACAGATATCAACCTGCTACCAACAGATATCAACCTGCTACCAACAGATATCAACCTGCTACCAACAGATATCAACCTACTACCAACAGATATCAACCTACTACCAACAGATATCAACCTGCTACCAACAGATATCAACCTACTACCAACAGAAATCAACCTACTACCAACAGATATCAACCTGGTACCAACAGACATCAACCTACTACCAACAGATATCAACCTACTACCAACAGATATCAACCTGCTACCAACAGATATCAACATGCTACCAACAGATATCAACCTACTACCAACAGATATCAACCTCCTACCAACACATATCAACTTACTACCAAGAGATATCAACCTCCTACCAACACATATCAACCTACTACCAACAGATATCAACCTGCTACCAACAAATATCAACCTGCTACCAACAAATATCAACCTGCTACCAACAAATATCAACCTACTACCAACAGATATCAACCTACTACGAACAAATATCAACCTACTACCAACAAATATCAACCTACTGCCAACAGATATCAACCTACTACCAACAAATATCAACCTACTACCAACAAATATCAACCTACTACCAACAAATATCAACCTACTACCAACAGATATCAACGTGCTACCAACAGGTCAATCATTTTTTTAATACCAGTCGTCGCACCATGGTACATGATTCACGAAAAAGGAAACTCTTTCACCATCATTCATTCACTCACCGTCTTGCCAGAAGCTGCTGATTTTACAGATGATCCTTCAGAGTGCAGGCACTGTACTTTCCACCTCCAGGACTGTAACTTCCCCACTCATCCTTCAGAGTGCAGGCACTGTACTTCCCACCTCCAGGACTGTAACATCCTCACTCATCCTTCAGAGTGCAGGCACTGTACTTCCCACCTCCAGGACTGTAACATCCTCACTCACCCTTCAGAGTGCAGGCACTGTACTTCCCACCTCCAGGACTGTAACATCCTCACTCATCCGTCAGAGTGCAGGTACTGTACTTCCCACCTCCAGGACTGTAACATCCTCACTCATCCTTCAGAGTGCAGGTACTGTACTTCCCACCTCCAGGATTGTAACATCCTCACTCATCCTTCAGAGTGCAGCTACTGTACTTCCCACCTCCAGGACTGTAACATCCTCACTCATCCTTCAGAGTGCAGCTACTGTACTTCCCACCTCCAGGACTGTAGCATCCTCACTCATCCTTTAGAGTGCAGGTACTGTACTTCCCACTTCCAGAACTGTACTATCCCCACCCATCCTTCAGAAAGCTGACACTGTACTTCCCAAATCCAGCACTGCAATATTCCCACTCATCCTTCAGAGTACTGACACTGTACTTCCCACCTTCAACACTCAAGTCCGGTTAACTGGTTTACCTGAATCCTTTCATAAATGTTACCTTGCTCACACTCCAACAGCACATTAAATCATAAAAGCCACCTGCTTCCATTCATTCCTTTCTAATGCATTCACACAAGCCTGTTAGATGTCCAAGCCTCTAGCACTCAAAACCACTTTTATCCCCCCTCACTCCAACCTTTCTTAGGGTGACCCCTACTCCTTCCTTCCACTACAGATTTAAACACCTCTAAGTCATCCTATTTTATTCCATCGTCTCTAAATGTCCAAACCACCTCAACAACCCCTCCTCAGCGTTCTGAATAATACTTTTAGTAATCCAGCACCTTCTAATCTGTAAGCTACAAATTCTCTGCATTATATTCACTGCCTTCATCCTTCTCCTTGATGCAACATTCACCAGCTATGCTTCACACCCATAGATGAGCATTGGTATAACTATGCTATTATACATTCTCCTTTTTGCTTCCATGGATAAAGCTCTTTGTCTCCACAGATTCGTCAGTGCACCACTCACCATTTTTCCCTCATCAATTCTATGATTCACCTCATCTTTCATAGACTCATCTGCTGACACGTTCACACCTAAATATCTGGACACATTCACCTCCTCCATACTTTCTCTCTCCAATTTGTTATCCAATCTTTCGCTACCTTAATTTTTATCCTCATCACCTTACTCTTCTCTATGTTCACTTTTAATTTCCTTCTTTCCAAGACACACGGTATCACCAGCAAAAAGCAACTGTGATGAATCCAACTTTATGTTAGATTCTTTATCTCTTAAAGGAATAAAATGAATGATTATAACTATGACCAAAATTTTTAAAGTGGTGGAGGTGTAAGCCAGAGGAAAGACTCGGTCACATGACCAAAAGCTCCAGTGGCGGGTTATCATCTAAGACCCG